TGAAGTAATGTCATTTAGCGTTCTTTTCAACTTTTTTCGTTCCAGCCTTGTAACCTTGTGGCCACGCAATTGTTTGAGGAGTAGCTCTGCGGAAGTCGTTATGTCTATGATAAGCAACTGAGTACCCATCCATATATCCTTACAAAAAATTTAAAAAAAAAAAAAATGTTAGAGTATTAGCATCAAATACAACATGTAATTTAGTTCAACAAGACATAGATATAAACTCATCCTTAAGAAGCAAAGGATTATTAGACTTACGGAGCTTGTAGATACCAACATGTTGCTATACTTCCTAACTAAACTTCGCTGATGATATTTTGATTTCGTGGCACTTCCCTCCTCCATAGAGCTTATAGTTTCCGTCCCGGAGAGGGGGAATCCTTCCATTGAAGGAAATAAATGTTCACAACCATGTAACAAAACTATTAGATAATATGCAGCAGTAGAAACCAAGTAGAGAGTGTAGAGACCATGCAACGCTTTTGCTCAGTTAATTAACTTAATATATTTCTCTGAGACTGATAATGTAGCCTCTGGTAAACAAACTATCTTTATATATGAAGCTCTTTTATTCTTAATTAATTAATTTATTTCATTTGATTATTTTTTTACAGCAGTAGTTGTTTTTTTGAAAGTAAATACCTTTCTCAGGTTAAGCCTGCGTTGAGGATTATAATTTTGACAATCTTCTGACGTTGTCAAGGTACTTGGCTCTTGTTGCGCCTCCATTGTTACAGATAACTTGGATGCAACTATGGATCCAACAAATGATGCGCGACGAGCACCAGGTTCTGTAATCTTTAACAACTCACTGCTTTGAAAAGAAACATAAGAACAAAAAACAAGCACATTTATCTCCTTCCTCCAGTGGTAGTGCTCATTTAGTACTCGAAAATAAAATGTAACAAACCCACCAGAGAAATAATACCATGATTTATCATAAGCAGCCCAGTAGTCTTCCAAACAAACAGTTAGCAAGCTCTGGCTGAGAAATCAATGTTGAAAACCTCATTGGCCACTTTAACAAATAATATAAACTTACAGAAGCAAACCTCAACGAAAAAAATGGGAATGTTTTACCTGTGGAGCAAGAAGTCTAGCAAATGAGTGTCTAAGGACTGTTGAGTTGAACGACTGAAGTGAGCAAACCCGGAGAAAACATCATAGCATACAGTAAAAACAGCAGACAGAGCAATCTCTTTCTCTGCCTGGATGGCATGCAGTTTGCCTTTTCGCCTCTCTTGACTTCTTTTCGGAGGACATGCAGCATAGAAATCAAGCCATCCAATTTCATCAGTCACCACCTATAAAGGTAAACTTTAAAGATTAGTATGATTTGTATTTTTCACCTGCATCAAAATTACTAAGGTTAGAAACGGACCTCCATGAATTGTTGATAAACTGCTATGGAAGAAAGCTCTGGGTGAATGAAAAGGCTACCACACTCCAAGTAGCTGCAGGCAGACAATTCAACCTCTTATGTTTTTGGTACTTTTGAATTAAACATTTAAGCGTGAAGCCGTTTACCTAAGGAAGTCCTTAACTAGCTCATCAAGATCCTTTATACCCATCCTTGACAAGAATAATCTAGTCCTTCTCCCAAGATATGCAAAAAGTCCTAAGGTAGCCAAAGTATCTCCTTGAACCTGTCAGAACTTGATAAATAAGAACAATAATTAAACGCTCAAGACATGAGCTGAAGGATCTATATTTATAAATAAAATAAAATAAAAATAAAAGAAGGGCCAAGTTAGCAATTGATTAATGCATCTGAGACCCCAGAGTCTGAAGATAATATCATGAAATATAAATTTGACCTTGTGATGAAAATTCTGCTTGCCTAGGATCATACTTTCTTTGTTGAATGCCATTGATAGTTTTTTATAAGCCAACCCAATCCAAAATTCTACCTCTTCACTTTTGTTGCTCAGCAGAACCTTTCTACCAAAATGGGACAGGAAATCCAATTCAAATCCTGCCTCGGTAGCTAAGTTATGTAGTCTTTCCACTGACACAAGACTGTGTGAGTGATCCATGAGCTCTACAATTACGTCATCAAGTGAAAATGCAAAATAAGGGCACTTAACACGACCGTAACCCAATTTAGCCACTGCAGCACAGCAGCTTATAGCCACAACCATCCCTGCAACACCACTGAAGATTTCTTTGTTTAGGGCTATATGCTTAATTTCAGATGGACAGGTTAATGTCACTGCATCTGCATAAAATAGTGCACAGGAATCCGTCGTATATTGAAAACATAAATGTACTGATTGTTGTGGCAAATGATAACACAAGGCTTTTCATATATTAGGCTAAGTGCACAAATTATTCGAGCAAACCTTCCTGCATATTCCATAGACCACTTCCTCAACAAGGGAGAGAAAAATCCTGCAATAAGCGGCTGTTCCACCACTCTAAACCATTCTGCTAATTCTGAGTGCCTCATGTTCAGTTGACTCTCAATGTATTCGCCTATTAAATCAATCTTTGGGATCAAGCTGAAACAGATAAAATACCGAATTAAGAAAAGCTTAGACATTCAATATTTGCATCCAAAATGGAAAAGGAATGGTAATGCTCAGCTAAGAAGAGCGTATTAAGCAAAGTTTAAACATTCAGTCTGACACATTTTCTTTAGAAAATGATTACTAAGTCAAACATTTTTCAGTTAAGGAACTAAGACAACCAAATTCAATTTGCCACATTAAGGCTTTAACAGAGAAAACTTACATATCTCTAACTGGAAAAGCGCTGCAATGACGTTCACTGGAAAGCAAGATTTCTACTTGGATTGCTGTTTTCAACAAAGAGTAAACTGCAACCTGCACAGCTATGGTAGTCCATTATAAAATTCATTTGTACTAACGAGTAACGTAACAAGGATTTCTTCTCACTTAAGAAAGTTTACATCTTGCTCAATTCAGTGACCCAAACAAATAAAAGAGATGCAGAAAATGCTGCAAAACCACCTTTCAAATATTGACGCTAATCATGCTAACACAATTCAACAGCCAAAAGAATTTGTTCTATAGGCATTATAAAATGTTTGTAACATGCTTTGAGGAAAGCAAAACATATGTTATACCTGATAAGAAATCCGCTTATGCCATTGATGGACATCCTTCCCAGACCATGCCATTGCAAGCTCTGGACCACTTCCTGGCAATTCAAGTGACTCAACTGCAATGGAGAAGCTCCTAGCTGATTCATGTAAGACCCATTCGAGGCAATTAACCCGATTAAATTCGTTTTCATGATTATGAGTTCTAGCCACTGAGGCACCATTCTCACAAGTTGTTCGACGAGAATAAGCTGTACAAGCTGTAGATGATGAGGTCCAAGATGAAGACCACCTCGACGAATTGTAACACCTAACCAATAAACCAAGCACATGATTTTTAGTCGAAAAGCCATAGATTCCTTGTTCATTTGTGCTGCACCTTGAAGGCTTATGCACATTGGCAATTGTCTTTTGTCGGTTTTCTGATCTTACATATCTTCTTCTGTCCCAAAAAGAGAAGTTGCTATCAGAATTTATGATTGAAGGAGTTTTCACAATAAACTACAAGTTTACTTAGAATGGGGTAAGTTATCAAGCAAGGGATAGAAGGAATGGAAAATGGGATCAACCCGTCCCAAATTGTTGTGATTCTTGATTTTCAGCTATTGGATTACGGATTTTAAGAGAAACCCAACGATTCCATATATTTTAATAAATATAGGCAAAGTTAGAAATTGTAAATACTCCAATACCCATGTTTTAGTAAACGCAGGAAAGTTAAGAATCAAAATGATTCCAATTCTTATTCCATGTAAGTGAACATGACAATCTACCGCTAGATATTTTATGACATTTAGTCTTCTTCTTTGGTTTCTGTTTGTATTGTCTATATACAACCATAAGTTACAGAACTGAATTGAATCAAAGTTATCGACTTAACAGAATTTGGACCAATACTGCATATTAAGCTCTTTTTTTGTTGGACCCAAATGTTAATTTAATTAAAAGCAATTTGAAGTAATTTAAAAAGAAAACCTCAAAAGCCCGTTTGAATACAGAATCTGGATATCAATTCAACCAACAGAAGCAGATTCCTATGAGCCATGAACAATCCACATAACCAAATTTCCAATTAGACCCAGATACCAGAATTTTAAAGGCAATAATAATAATAATAAATTATTAAGAAGGTCTAAAATTTACAGTATCTGTGGGAGGAGGAGAGAGAGAGAGAGAGAGAGAGAGAGAGAGCTTACGAGTGGTTAAAGAGGTGAGGTTTGATGGGAGACAAATGGAGAGCCATGGAAATCCGAGACAGAGAAAAGGGAAGCAAAATGGATCCATGTAAGTCATAAAAAAAAGGAGGCTTTCAGCAGCGTGGCCGTCGAGGTAGAGAGAGAGAGAGAGAGAGAGAGACAGAGAGGAGAGAGAGTGTGTGCAGAAACTCCCAAGAAATATTTTATATTTTCTCTGTCATAGAGTTTTTCTCCCGCCAGCCGTTCTGTTTTCTTTCAGGTTTTGGACTCTTTGTTTCGGCAAGACTGTTGTTCTCAAGAACAAAGAACAAAGAACAAAATGTAATGCTATGTGACTAAATTTGTAAACTAAATAATATATTATTAATACGTATGTTAATTAACGCTTTAACAATAATTCAATCATCAACTTCTATTTTATTTCGTTTACAGAATTAGTATACAAATTTAATCTCTCTAGCACTACCCAAAAACAAATTATATAGTTAAAAGTTAAAACAATTAACACCAAAATTACTGCTAACGATATTTTAAATTAATTACGCACTAAATGAATACATAAAACTCGTTATAAAATATAAGGCCTTGTCCGATTGACTTGAAATGACATTACCGGCTGAAGTTTTTGCCTTTTGACATTTTTCTGGAACCTGATCGCAAGGCTCCCTATCATATCTTATTTGAGTCTTATTTGGGTCCTTCGCCATTTAAAATGTCAAATTTAAATTTGATTAACCTATCAAAAATTAGCTTCATTGCCTTCTCTACAAGTCTACGAAAATAAACCATTAACATCTTTTGAAAAAACCAAAACACTAATGTTCTTGGATCCTTTACAAGTAGTTCTTCCATGATCAAGATTCAATGTTCAGTAAAACTCTCCCAACTACTGTCCTCTTCTAAGTTATCATCCGATCTAGTTAGCAATCCGCTCGGAAACCTTCTCTCCAGAAGCGTCCGAGTTACTTTCCCTAACGAATCCAAGTTCCGACATGTCTTGTTTTGCCATCAAGTTCCTGCCAGATGCATATAAACGGTCTATGAAATCAAAAGTTCATAACAAATCTGTATGTGAAAAAGAAAGAGACAATACAAGGAATGAGGGCTCAAATAGCTATGAATTGACCATTTCCTAATATTTCGGCCAATTTTGAATTACCATTAAATTGTTTTCCTCAGTTTTTGGTTCAAGATCTTCATCATATTTAGATACGCCAAAAAGTTTCATCCACGAAATAGGATAGCTAAATCTGCCAAATTCAAATTATGGCTCCTCAAAATACAAATGATTTCATTTTTACATTCACGAACAAACCTATAACGTAATTTGACACAAACCTAATGCCAGAAGTGCTTTTTGATACAAACCTACCACCAGAAGGTGAGGGAAAGACACGAATGTAGGGAAGTTAGTACTTTATGCTATTTTCGCCCAACATACACCACTGAAACTTCAAAACCTATACTTCAAGCTTTTGAGTGCCATGCAGTTGGTAGTTGTTTTGGTTTTGAATAATATGCAGAAGAATGTCGCAGAACGAATTCCAGATCAAAGCATTACAATTTGTTTTACACAAAACCAAAAAAACTCACTTTTCCATTCGGCATTCCAGGTACTTTTTTGAGAAGAGTCTACATTTTTCTGATTGGTGGCCCGAAGTTTTGAGACAACTGAGGTATTCCTTTTTCTCCTAAAACAAAGCCAAGAAGCTAAGAACTTCAAACAAGACAAAGAAATATAATCAAAACTTTCACATTTATCAACCATACTGAACCCACTCCAACAAAAAACCAGCTTTTGACAAACTTGCTTCTACAGAGAAAACAAATGTGAAAAAGAATGTTCATCAATCGAATAAGCGACATTACCAGGTCACACAAATGCATATGATCCAAAGGAAAGACACCTTTCTCCGGAGGAACTGGGCTCAGTCCCCTATTACCACCAAAGGCACCACCTACAAGAAATGATCACACTTTTAAGCAAAAATGAGATACATGTATATTACTGCAAGAATGGTGATATCTATTTCGTGATTAGGCCTGAGTCCCTGACCAAGATTTTCATCTCTCTTTAATACAAATAACACTGACATCATGCAGGCCAAGGCCAATTCTAACATAGCAGGAGAACTGTCTGCACAAGTGCATCAAGTACAATACTACGATCTTATTCACATGGCGTATACGGTTCATTATAATGCGTTCCGCAAAGCACAACAACTACAAAACAACTAGTGGCAATATTTTGAGTTTTAATGTTTATACTCATCCACCACTAAATTCACTGTACCTCAAGTTCTAGAGGATCCTATAAGTTTATAGTTATACTCAAGTAGAAGGGAACTAATTATTATGATGAGATTGAAGAGAAATCAATCAAGCCCAAAATTCGAAGGCCTACCAGAATATAGAAGCAACAATTAATTCTAGCAAACACATTAGTACATTAGATTACATATAGTGTCATAGGCAGCCAAACCCATCCTCAGAGACTTGGAGTTGGAGCGGCTGGTGACTCTTGAACCTCCTCCCGAACCCCAATTACTTTTCTTTTCCTGGAATTTGTGCAGATACGACAGAGCAAGGGAATGAAACAGTTCTGCTGATCGGAAAATGATATTGAACAGAATTGTTGTAGTTGTAGATAGTGTAGATATTGGTTATATCAGCAAGAGGCTTTTCCTCCTCAACCTCATCTTGCCATTGCATAATTTCTTCTTCTTGGAAGATGACGACGGCGACATGGAATTTCCAAAATTCCAAAGAAGTAACAACATTTGAGTTGGGAAATATGTATTTTTTCAGTTTTGGGCAATAAGAAGCTAATTTTATGTTAGAAGTCCCGATACCAGTTTATGGCGAGAGAAGAGCCTACTTAAAATACAATCACCAAGTATAAATCAAAACCCATCATACCCAAATTTCACAACTTTATAATACCGAAAACTTGAAAAGCCATCGGTTTGAATCTCTAAAATTTGCCAAAACTTTTCCCTGGGAAGAGCTACTTTCACCAGCATCCTTGAACTCAAATAAGCAAGCAAGACATGGCACTAATGTGTTTATTTCCCCAAAGGGCAATCAGAAAACACAAACAATCTCCAAATAAATAATTAAAGAGACCCTTTCTCTGCATTCATACAAGTTTCGACATATTTCTATTGTAAAATCATCAATTCCAGCCAAAATTATGCAATCAAAATCAAATCTTCCACCTGGGTTTTCCATTATCTTTCACTAATCTAAGAATTCCCCAACATATCAATTTTAGAGAGAGAGAGGACCTGCACTCATGGTGAAAGCTGGAGGGTGAAAAATCGAATCTTGGTGGTAGCGTCACGGTGGGATGTTACGCAACCTGAGATCGGTTTTGAATCATACTTCGGACGAACTCAATCAACTACTCTCTCTTTGGTCTCTCTCTCTCTCTCTCTGTGAGATGATAGATGAGTTGGTAATGGGGAGGGGTGCCGAAGAAGAAAAACAGAGAGCAGGGTCGAGAGAGTCTCGTGTGTGTGAGTGCGGTGACGTCCTGGGTGAAACGGTTGAGATTTAATCTCAACCAAATCCAACTAGGAGTGGGCAAATGAGTAGAGAAACCGCGGGTCGGGGTGAGTAGACAAGGTTTGGGTAGGGTATGGGGGAGGTCCAAATTTTTTAGAGGTCAAATGTGGCAGGATGGGGCAGGGCGTTGATATTTTAGGGGTGGGCCGGGTCCAATTGTTTTTAGAGGTTAACGGCTTATAGTTATTAAATACTAATATATGCCCATACACAAAGTGTGTGAATTTTTTTTTTTTTTATTTTTAGAGAAAATTATAGTAGCAATGGTCTGTTAACTTTAATCTAATTAGAGCAATACTCCATCAACTAAAAATTCATGACCATTGGTCCTTAACTCATCAAAATGTACAGTTATTATCCTTTTCGTTAATTTCATCAGAATTCCGTCAAAATGACTCATGTTGGAATGATCATTGCTACAATTGAGTTAAAATTGAGGGACCAAGGTTGAGGGACCATTTCTCTAATTGGGTTAAAGTTGAGAGACCATTGCTACATTTTTTTTTTTCATTTGGTTTTCTATATTTACCCCTTGATTTAGCCCCACGTGTGTGGCATATAACTCATTTTCACGGAAGTTTTAACGAAGTTGACGAAAAGACCATAACAACATGTTTTAATAAGTTAAGGGACCAATGATCATGGATTTTTAGTTGAGTGATCATTCCTTCAATTGAGTTAAAGTTGAACTACCATTACTACAATTTCCTCTTGTTTTTAAAATTGAGATTAAGGAGAAAGTGACAGAGGTTTATTTTTTATTTTCTCACCTATAGGTGATGCTTAAACAAAAAAAAAGTAAAATTTTGTTTTGTTTACGTTACTGCCCTTATCTTTTTTTGTTGTGATAGAAGACTAAATAGTATTTTCAACCTCTTTTGGTCGACAAAAAGGGTTCTATTAATATGTAGTTTAGATATATATGCTCACCTAAGGGCATCTCTAATGGTTGTCCTTAAAGCTTATAAATAAGGAATAAGGCTCTCCAATACACCAAAAATTGAGTCCCAAAAGCATCTCCACTCCCACCACCCTGTTTAAGGACTTATTTAGAAACTTAAAAGAATATTATCTCCAATGAGAAAGTCCTTATAGTATGTATCCTAAATTTGAAGTTTATATAATAAAAATTTCAAATCATTTTTGGACCATTGATTTGTAATAGAAAAAAAAAAAAAAAGGCATGTGTGTGCGGGACCCACATTGCAGCTACGTCAGCAGTTGTATGATGATGACTAATGGAGTAATCGTGTGTGTGGAGGAAATAGCTCAACAGCTACATGTAAGCTTTCATGTGGGTTTCCTCATTTCCCACTCAAAATCTCAATAGGCTCCGCCATTGGTTGTCCTTATACAAGCCTTAATCGTGGTGAAATATTTGAGGTCTCTGGGCAGTCCTTATACAATAGGAACTAAAGCTCCACCTAATCGGAAGTCACCAAGTCTTTAAATTTAAGGAAATACGATGGTCGAACTATTTTAAAGGCACCATTGAAAATGCTCTAAAGTATAGGGACTCACCAAATCCATAAGGCAAGTCCTCACATGTAGGGACAATATAGGGACCAAAGTGGTGGAGCCTAGTGGACATTTTGAATGAAAAAACTTGGCCCACCCATGTGCATCTATTCCTTGCTGCATCATGCATGGGTCCTACTATTTTTTTTTTTTTTCTGTTTATTGAGAAATCAACAGTCCTAATAGCTTTTTGATTTTTTTAGTTTTTTACTGTTTAGATCAACAGAGAACAGGGTTGAGAAAGAGTTGTGTGTGAGTGCAGTGAGGTCTTGGGTGAGAGAGAGTTTAAACGGTGGGTATTTACAAACAGTTAAGATTAAATATCAACTAAATCCAACAATGTATAGTTAAGTATAGTTATTAAATATATGCTCACCTAAGAGCATGTCTAATGTTAGTCCTTAAAGCCTTCCTCACCACCATAAGGACTTAAGAATATTTCCCATCCTAGTCCTTAAAGCTTATAAATGAGGGATAAGGCTCTCCAATGAGCATCTCCACTCCCACCACCACATTTGAAAACTTATTTAGAGACTTAAAAGAATTTTTGTGTCCTTAAAAAAAATTATCTCCAATGAGAAAGCCCTATAGTATTTACTCTAAATTTCAAGTTTATATAATAAAAAACCCCAGATCAAATTTGAACCATTGATTAGCAAAAAAAAAAAAAAAAAAAAGCAAGTCCCCACATATAGGGACAGGACAGGGACCAAAATGGTGGAGCCTAGTGGACATTTTTTGTGAAAAACTTGGCCCACCCATGTGCAGTTATTCCTTGATGGACATGAGGAGATACTAAGATTTAATTTCAATTGAGTATGATGCGAGGAGATACTAAGACTAACACTTAATTAGTGGAAATTAAGTACTCGAAAAATCTCTCATGGATTACTATAGAGGAATATCTTGAGCACTAAATATACTTAAGATACTATTAATTATGTTTATAGTATAACGATGCTTGTGGTAAATATTATACGTGCTAATATCATATTTTGGAGATATATATCTTAGATAGATATGCAAGTTCATTTTGGATTGGATCATGAGTTGATAGCCTTTGGAAAAGATATTTATTGAGGCTTAACAACCTTTTTGTTACATCCCATTTTATATAGATGAGACTCTATATTTGGTTTGAGATATCCCACTATTGTGGAAGAGACTATTTGGTTCATCGTATGTGATATCATAGCTATGAGAACTTAAGCCAAATGACTTATGCATATATATATTTGATATAATTATTTTGAGGTCAGGATTGGATCTAGCATATCTTCTGACAAATCCACTAAGCTAAATGCTAGTGATGATTATTACATTGAGGGGGATGTGATTTATTCTTATAACATTGACCAAGAGTGATGGTAACCCAACCAATGTGAATAGAGATCCCAAGGAGTAGGTTCATATGGGTAAAAACAAGTCACTTGTTGATCGGGCGTGTACTATCAAATTTATAATATTGAAAGTTATCCCTATGGTGTAGATAATGCAACTACTGCAGTGTCTAAGGTTAAACTTATGTTCTTAACCTTGGATTTCTCCAATTTCGTAGGTTGCATAGCAGGTATCACAACACTTTAGGACTTGGTGTAGGTTGTTTCACGCTTGGCAGAGGTGAAGCTTATCGACTACGTAGCATGTTGGCAATGGATAAAGCTTCGTATATGCACACTAGCTTGTTTAACCTTTCATAAGAATGTGTGGTTGTACAAGTCTAGCACGGCTTTACTGCACGAAAGGCAAGTCGTAGGCAGTCTTCCGAAAACTGTAGGCTACCTTATTGCACTCGGTAGCAGATTTAGGGTTCCAGGGCAACCATCTGTACGGAGTATTGCATAATGTGTCCCCCCCTCATCTCTGGGGCCTGGCTTTTCATGGATTAGGCCAAGAGAACCAAAATCCTTCAGCTAGCTAAGCTTTGAAAAAGGCCATTATGGCTACTTCTAGGGATCCCGGCGTAAGCCATCGTGCACCTAGTTATACCAGGGTAACCCGGCTCATCCACGTTTAGATATTCGGAGTGTAAGTTTATCCTCCCACCTTGGAGAGCAAACCCATGTGGGTGTCAGAGAATTGGTTTACCCTCTCTCATTGGAGAGCAATTACTTTATCTTCTCGCACTAGAGAGCAAACTCATGTGGGTGTTGAGGAATTGGTTTACCCTCTCGCACTAGAGATCATGGTTGGTCCCTTGGGGGGCGCAATTCCTGCGATGAGTCCCTACGAAGGGCGTGGTTTTCTTTGAAGTGCATGAGTGATCAGTTGTTGTAAGCATGTAGCTGAGCCAAGTTGTAAATTAGTTCTGAATTCCTTATTGAAAAATGAGTAAAACGAACAAGAACTTAGCTATATGGTAGGAACTGCATAACAATTAGATAGTCATTGGCTTGTAAAATGGTGCAGTCGAGCTGCTTGAGTCATCGGGCTTTGATGTAGTGGGAGGTCACGTGTGGTACTTGCTCATATTGTAGGCGTTCCACTGTTTTTCGATCTCTTTGTCGTTCATGGTAGCAGAGGTGTAGCTACTCTTGCCGCCTACTTTGTTAATCATGTACATACCTTTCCATATGGGATCCATTTTTTTCAAGCCTTCTCCGCGGGCAGTGATTTCTTAAGACTAGATCTCTAGGCTGGAACTGCCGAATCTTGGCCCTTTTGTTGTAGCTAAACAGGAGCTGCTGCTGGTAGGTTGTGATGCGGGTGATGGTCTGCTCGTGCTACTTATCTGTCAGATCTAAGTTTATGGTCATCTTCTTATTGTTTTGCTCAATGTTTGGCAGTAGAGTGCTGACACCTAGCTTGATGACATTAGGATGAATGATTACTTCTGAGCCAAATGCCAAAGAGAAAAGAGTTTCACCATTTGCTCGTCTTTTGGTGGTGAGACATGCCTATAGATATCTGAGGAGTTCGTCTGGCCATTTTCCCTTCTTGTTGGTGAAGGATTTCTTGAGGCAGTCGAGGATCGTCTTGTTAGATGCTTCGGCCTACCTATTACCTTGAAGATACCTCGACTGCTGCTTGATGTCATATTATTGAAATAACTTTGCCAAATCTTTGCCCACAAATTGCGGGCTGTTGTCGGTGACGGTGGATTAAGGGATGCTAAATCGGCAAATGATATTCCTCCATATGAAGTGCTATATTCCATCTGAGTCGTGGTTATCATAGGCTCTGCTTCAACTCATTTGGTGAAGTAATCAGTTGCCATGATCATCATGCCTCTGCCTCCAGCAGCGGTCGACATTGGCTCTACCAGGTTGATTACCCACTGCATAAATCGCCAATGACTCATTTGTGGATGTAGCTCATTGGCAAGCAGTGTTGGTACCGGTTTGTAACATTAGCAGTGGTCATACTTTTACATTAACTCCTTAGCGTCCTAATGCATGGTAGGCCAGTAGTAGCCTTCGTCAAGAGCCCTCTGCACTAAGGATCCAGTGTAAGATCTTCGAACGAGAATGCCGTTCC